TGTCAGAGCTGGGAGGGCCCTCAGAACCCAGAATATCATAGAATGTCAAAGCTGGGGAAGTAGGGAGAAGGGGAACTTAGATCAAAGAACATCCAAGTACCAGAGGTGGGCTTTGAAAGAACTTCCCTACTCCAAGACTGGTTCTGTTTCCACTACACTGCCCTTCAAGTATAACAATAAAGAACTTGACCTTGGTTCCTACCTTTCTGGCAATGGTTGTGGGTCCAGCACCGTTCAATAAACTGGCCGTTGATCACCGTGGACTTGCAGCTGTTGACTCCCTTCACTGCCCCCGGGCAGACATCCCCACACTCTTCTTTGTCATCTTTGTTATCCACAATATAGTTGTCCTCCACTGAGTCTAGAATCTGAGACCAGTCGATGGTTGACAAGTAACATAGCTCATTATTCTTCTCAATGCGCACAGCCCCCCGGGTGATGTTCATTAGGCTGTGGAGGCCAATCTCCTTGAGGTGGACCATCTCGAAGATGACCAAGGCATAGTTGAAAAAGAGACGGGACCCACGAATGACTGTCAAGTTGGGGAAAAGGTCCTTGAGGCTCTCAAGCCCATATACTCGAAAAAGCAGCAAGTACTCTGTGATCATGGTAAGTCTGGGGAAACTGAGGTCCCGGAAATCTTCAGGCTTTGTTTTAAACATCAGCAGTATCTGCAAGTTGCCCTCAATGACAGAGCAGCGCTCCAACATGTTCAATTGTGTCAGGTTATTCCGAATGTCCATGCTTGGGCACACTGTAGGGAAGGGAAGGCAAGGAAAAGCATTTTACTTTTTTTTCCTGCTTTTTGATGAGGCAATCAGGGTTAAATGACTTGCCTAGGGTCACATAACCAATAAGTGTCAAGTGTCTCAGGTCGGTATTGAACTCAGGTCCTCCTGACTCCAGAGCTGGAGCCCTATCTACTGGGCCACCTAGCTGCCCTGCAGGAAGGCATTTTACCAAAAGGCATGCTATATGAGGAACCAGACAGCTAAGAGACTTTAACTACCCAAGTAACCCTAGGATCAAAGACCCAGAAAACACCTCAGAGACCATCAAGTCTACCCTCTTATTTTATAGATGACTCACAAAGGTAATAAGGATCAGAGCTGAGATACAAAACCCAAAGGTATTAAGTATCAGAGCTGAGATATAAAACCAGGTCCTTTCCCTCAAATTCAGAGATCTTTTTCTGTGTCTTCCTTTCCTGATCTTACTGATGAGGAAACTCATCAGTAAGCCCTGTACCAGTGAGCCAGCGAGTCCTGATGAGGCTCAGGGAGGCTAAGTGATTTGGCCACATAGGATCATTTCTGACCTCTATGAAATTAAATCAGACAACACGGGGTAAGTCAGTGCTTCTCAGAATGTTACCCCCACACCCTTCAGGGTCTCTGAAACCCTTTCAGGGGATCTTCAAAGTCAAAATTATTTTCATGATAATATTTAAACATTATTTGTCTATTAAAATATGCCTCCCTTTTCCAACTACATATCTGTGTGAGTCCAGCCTTTCTTCAGATAGTTCAACCAAAACAACAGAATGCAACAAATTGAAAGCAGAAGCAGATAGTAGAATCCAGCTGTCATCTAGAAAGCCACTCCTTAATTTGATTTGCAAATATGGAAAACAACCCACTCTTCTCAATTTTTTTCCGTTTTGGAAAATATAGTTATTTTTCATTAAAAATGTCATTTACATTAATATGTCATAGACCCATTATTGTAATATTAAATTAATTCATTTATTTTAATTTCTAATAGAGTAAATATAAATAGATATAACCCAAAAAACCAAAAGTTCTTTGAAGGGTTCTCAATTTTTAAGAGTGTGAAGGGTATTGGGGTGGGGGAGGGGAAAGATGGAGAGAAAATTTGGAACTCAAAATCTTATGGAAGTGAATGTTGAAAACTAAAAATAAATAAATAAAAATTTTTTAAAAAGAGTTTGAAGGGTCCTGAATCTGGATTGTTTGGTGCCAGTTCATAGCAGCTCCAATGATGTTAAATTTTCAGGGTGAGCATTTACACCTTGGAAACTGACGAATGCCACAAATCAGGGCTGGATTTATTGTTCTGTTTACTGTCTAGACTTTAAAAAGCGATAGAGAAAATGTCAATAATACAGATTAAATTTTAAAATACATTATGGACACCTTTTTTTTTTCAGAGAGCCAGTTTGTTAGACATCTACCAGAGCACAGCCCTGCCTAAGACCAAAAAATATGAGACCCATAAGGTTGAGAAGAAATAGAGCTGGATTTTAACAGTCCGAGGAGCTGAGTTAGACCTAGGATCCTAAGTCGAGAGCTAGAAGGGACCTCTGAAAACATCAAGTCCAGCCCCCTCATTTACAGATAGGGAAACTGAGGCCCGGGGAATTAAGTGATTTGGCCCAGGTCCCACAAGGAATGGGCAACTGAGTAAGCAGGATTCAAACCTATATCTTCTGATGTCCTAGCCTATCTCCTACTATGTCTTTGTAGATCTAGGATTTTATGACCATAGCCCGGAGAAAGTGAAAGGCCTCATCCGAGGGCACACAATGACCAACAAGAAGTCACTGAGGATTTGTGAGCAAAGGAATGGAGTGACCAGATCCATAAAAATGCCAGCTCAAAATGACCAACCATGATGCCAAAGGATGTGGCCAAGGCAAGAACTCATTTTGCTTGACTATACATATTTGTTACAAGAGTTTTTTTCCCCAATGGAAGAGAGGGGAAAGAGGAAGTAGGTCTTTATTCATTTTTTTAAAATGAAATTGAATTTCAATTTTTGGTAATTTTAAAAAGGAGGAAATGAGTTTAAGGAGGAGCTGAGACTAGAACTCAGGTCTCTCAGTGCCTTGGCTCATGCTCTTTTCACCACAGCTTAAGGAGAGAAAGATAAACATTCAGTTGCCAGAATCTGCCAGCAGATTAAAATAAAACCAACCCCAGCAGAGCCCTCAGTTTACGTTATGTAATTAGTACAGTGGGATTACAAGGAAGCAGGTTGTTGAGCAATGGCGTGGGGGTGGAGGGGCTGCCCTGGGCAGAAGGAAGTTCCTATTCGGGGGCTCCTTCACTCACTACAGTTTGGAGGAGGGTGGGGGGATGGTTGGAGGCACAGGCTCCTACCAGCTACAAAGACCTCCAGGCCCCCAGCACCAGCTCCCAGCTTCTGCTAGCGCTGCTCAGGACTGAATGCCAAGGTGAACTTTCCCCAGCTCTCCAAGTTCACGTTTGTTCAAAGGAAGAGTTACTTCTCAGAAACCAGCTCCCTAGAACTTGCTATGCCAGAGGGCAAACTGGAAAGAAAGGAGAAATGCCACCAGACATCTCACAACCGGGCTGCAAGGAAACTCTCCCAGGCCTCCCACTCTGGACACCACAGAGGGAAGACTGCTGGCCTCCCCTCCCTTCTCCTCTCAACACAAATATCCCAACAGAAAAAGTCCTGAGCCAGAGCAGGGCAGTCCATGGTCTGGTCACCCTTAACAACAGCAACTCCATGGGCAAGGAGATGAATCAGTTAGGGCCAGGAGGGAAGACTGCTGGCCTCCCCTCCCTTCTCTCAACACAAATATCCCAACAGAAGAAGTCCTGAGCCAGAGCAGGGCAGCCCACGGTCTAGCTACCCTTAACAACAGTGACTCCACGCGCACAGAGATGAATCAGTTAGGGCCATGTAAGCAAACTGGTTTCCCGAAGGAAGCTGTGAGCGGCTACAGACAAATGTGGTCACATTCTAGAGGAACTGGAAGGGTCCTTGGGAAACATGGAGTCTGACAGTCTTTCCCCACTGGACAAGAGGGGAAACTGAGGAAACTAGGTGTTGCAGTGGATACAGCGCCAGGCCTGGAATCAGGAAGCCCTGAATTCAAATCCAGCCTTGGACATTTACTAGCTATGTGACCCTTGGCAAGTCACTTAATCTTTGTCTGCCTCAGTTTCAACTGTAAAATGAGGATAATAATAGCCCCCATCTCACAGGGTTTTGTAAGGATCAAAAGACATATTTGTAAAAAAGGTTTGGCATAGTGCCTGGCACGTAGTAGGTACTTCATCAATGTTCATTCCTTCCTTCCTTTTTCTAAGGTCTCATCCAGCTCTAAATCTGTTTCTCTGATATTAAAGGTACGTGGAAAAGCCAGATTGTCCAAGGTTTTAAATGTCAAACTGAAGGTTTTGCATCTTAGCCTGGAGTTAATAGAGAGCCACTGAATATTTTCAAGGAGGAGAGTGGCATGGTCAGAACTCTGCTACCAATATCCACCAGCCTATGATCACCACTCCCTGCCTTAAAAGAAGCCCCTTCTCATGCCCAAAGGAACAGGCTGCTTTTCTGCAGCCTTCTCCATTTGAGCATGGTTTCCTCATAGGAGTGGAGGATTTTCTCTGGTTTCTCTTCCTGAAGCTGAGGCCTCTCCCTGAGTGTGTAATTAATTGCCACCAATCTGGAGACCTGGCAAATCCTGATTACCCCTCCTGAGGGAGGCCAACTCAGATTGTCTCCCTTCTTTGCCCTAGAGCGGGCACTTCACCTGCAGGATGGTCCATGAGGATGATCTGGGCTTCTGTTTTAGCACCCTCACCCCCCACCAGCCCATGAGCTCCAGGAAGGCGATGGGCTCTATTACCTCTCTGCTGAGTCTTCCCAGGACCTGGTCCCATCATCTGCATATGGTAGACGCCCAGAAAATATGGGGAAGATGGCATAAATCATTTCATACAAGGACTGGCTGAAAAAGTTGAAGATAGTGGCATCGACTTTAATGAACCTTCTAGAAAACTATAAGAACTCTTTCAGGTTATCCATCCTGTCCAACTCCCTCATTTTCTAGATGAAAAGACTGAATCCCAGAGAGGGGATATCATTTGCCTGATGTCACACAACTAATACATAGCATTCAAACCTGGGATGCAAACTCAGGTCCTCTGTGTCCAAATTCCACATTCTTTCCATTGTGGCTACACTACTGAAGGAAAAGGGAGACCACACTTGCACATGTTCTCCATGCTCACAGAGTAGGAAGTAGGCACAGGTTGGGGGCAGGGACCTTGGGGACTGAGGCTGCTCTACCACTGAGGCTGTGTCACATTTACAAACTTCACAAACACTGCACGTTGTTCCTCCCTTCTTTGCCAAGGCTGGGGAGTGGGGGTGTAGAACTAGATTTTGTGCTGTAAAGAATTTCAGAGATTATCTAGTCCAATCTCCTCATTTTTCCAGGGAAACTAAAGTGGAGAAGTGAACTCATTTGGCCAAGGCACCCAGGGTCATCGACAGAGCAAACATTCGAACCCAGGTCCTTGTCAGACCAAATGACCAGGATGTGGCTGATGTGTGGATTAGATGCACTGAATGGTTCCTCCTCCTCTTTCTTCTTGATAAGGGATGGCTCTTAGGGCAGGAGAAGGGGGAGGAATATACTTGAAAATGAAGGTCATATACAAACAAAAGGTATCTACTTTTTAAAATTAAAAACAACACTGCACAGCCCATGTCCTTGGTTGAGGAAAAATATAGTGAGGAAGTTCCAGGGTCATAGATTTCAGAAGGACAGGCTTCCTAATGGTCAGAACCAACTGTCCCACAACAGAGCAGGCTGCCTCTCAAGGGGCTGATTCCCCTGATCAGAAGTATTCACACAGGGTCTCCTTAATGGCCCTGAGGATCTTCCCAGACACTCTCTACAACCTTCTCGCTACATCCACTGCCCTTATTACTCTGAACACTAACTTCTCAGGTTTCTATTTCGAGCAGACT